AAACAAACGGATGCTCCGGATGATGGGAGATCCGCCTCCGACGGTCAAGTTAGTACTTGATTAAGGAGTAATTAATGCGGAAATCAAAGTGATTGGGTCTCTCTAGGTGAGAGTGTTTAATGTATGTAATCTGAGTTCTTTTTTTCTTAATGAGGATTAAGAGAGGTATTTATACCCTCGGGAAACGTGCCAATCTAGGTTTAGGTTAACCTTGGGCTGATTGGGCTTCCCTCGGAAGTTGGGCCTAGGTGGCCGGTTTCTCCATTAGGCATGGAGTATGCCATGTGTCATGACATAATAAGTCCAGGGTGGACGAATAAGCGTGTGCCACGTGGCAAGCCCTGAGAGGTCCAACTGGGGAACACTTGGCAGGACCTGATTGGCCCACGTGGCGCATTCCGATTGGTGGGAGCAAAATCCCCTAATCAGTTACCATCCTACAAGGCTTGATCATCTATCTGGGAATACTAGAAATGTGAATACTTATTCAGTATAATCACGTGTAGTTTGCATATACTTTCTCCGTTTATGTTTAGTTGTAACACTTCTATTCGTTGCACTATTTACATGATTCATTATTTTTGATGTTTTATATACATTTAAAAAATATATATATAATTATATGAGATCTTATTATATTCGTCTTATTGAATTTTTTTAATAATAACATTTTATATTTTTTACTTGTTGATATTTAAAAGTTACTAATTGCACTGCGTATAAATTATGTATTGGCACTCGATTGAGCATGAAAAATAAAAATGTTAAAAACTCAAACATAGGAAGTAATTTAGAGTTGTACGCTTTATAGGCTATTTGGACGATTTAAAGGTCTTACAGTATGAAGTGTATAAATTATAACTTAAATCCTATGTTGCTTAATACAGGTATTTGAAACACACTTGATTTAATGTCTATAAATAATTCCAACCTAAGCTATATAAAAATAGATTAAGGGTTTGTTTACATTTACTTAATTTCACTTCAGTTCAGTTCCAATCAGTTCAGCTCCAATCAGTTCAGTTCAGTTTAGTTCAGCTCCTAATTTCCCTCTCTCATAAAATATTCATTTCAGCTCAGTTTAGTTCAGTTCAACTCCAATCAGTTCAGTTCAATTCAGCTCAGTTCAATAAATGTAAACAGACCCTAAGACAAACCTAACAAGATCCTGTTATAAGTAACTAGAGATAGTAGAGAAGGGCGTAACTGCGTGGGCCCCATGTAATGTGGATTTACCAACTTCCCTCCCTCTCTCAGTTCGTTAACAAACTGTTTCTCTATTTTACCCCCAAATTTGTATTTTTATCAATTTGACAAAAAAAAGAACTTACATTTTATTTATGTAGAAGTAGTAATGCATGCGTGTAGTTATCAACTAATTAATAGACTTGTTGTTATGATTTGTAAAAGAAATTCTCAAATCTCAGCAACCAATGAATATTTAATGAGGCTTCTAAAAGTTGATTAAATAAAAAAAAAAAAAAAAAAACTTATAAGTTGTTCAATTGTTCTGTCTTTTTCTTTCTAATTTTTTATTTATAAATGACACCAAATAAAATCATCTGGTCAATGAAACTGAAGAGAGATATATAGAGAAGGATGAATTGAAGCTGTTTTCATGGTGGCAAAAGTCAGTCGTAGAAGGTGAGAAGTCACACTTTGATTCCCACGGATGATAACGACTCAATTGAAAGGGACTTCAATTTTATTTGAACCGGCCTTGAATGGAAGGAGTAATCGACTAAGATGATTATTGTATTATGGTTATTGGCTAGTACTATCAATTTGTGTTGACGGTTCGGGTTTGGATTGGGTTGAACAGCTTTGAGCTGCAGATGGGTCAGTGGCGGGTTCAAGAATTAAATATGGATGTACGATGGATATAAAGCTTAATAAATAAATTATAATACTTTTTCTGTCACTAAATAATTGATACAGTCAAACTTTACATACATGTCAATCCATTAGTTTGACCTTAGTTTTATGTATTGTAAATAAATAAATAAAATTATTTTAAAAAAATTGTTATATTATGAAACTCTTTTTATGAGAAACTTAGCTTGTTTTATACTTTGTATTATGAATTTTTTTTATATTAATACCTATTATATAACAACATATTTTATGATAAAATATGTTTTTACTGCTCCCTCCATTTATTTAAAATCACTTTCCTTTTATGTATTTTTTTAATGCATCACTTTCATATTTGGTAACTTTATACTATATTTTTAAACCCAACTTAAATTACTTATCATTTCTCTCTCATGGTCCTCACTTAAATATTAAGGCTCCGTTCACCTCACCTTATTTTTGCATAACTGCAATTATTTTTACTGAACTGAAATTATTTTTGCTCAACTTAAATTATTTTTACTGAAATGAAATTATTTTTGCTAAAATGAAATTATTTTTACTGATTTTATGTTATATCTCTTCTTTAAAGTCCGCAATGCCTCCCAAAATTGTAAGTAATAAGAATCGGAGGTAGTATACAAGTTTAGTTGGGTATAGACTCGTCTTTCGTCACTGGCTATATGCATTTTCATTCAAATACAAGACTTCATGAACCAAACACCACTTTTATAATTTTGGTGTAAATCTTATCTCTCCTCTTAACCTATCGGTGAAAGTAACTCTTCATTTTTTTATTTTTTTTTCACTAGGAGCAGGTTACGGAAGCACGTTGAACAACCATATTGTTTCTTAGTATTTTAATACAAACAGTAGCTAAATGGACTGGATCCCCAAAAAAAAAAAAAAAAAAAAAAAAAAAAAAAAAAAAAAAAACAAAACAAAACCTTTTTATTTTACCTTAGTCACAAAGATAATCCTTTGTCACCTTCAAACTCCCACTCCTTCAAGTTGATATAGCCAAATTAATTAAATATGTATTATATGATTCATAAATTCATTCATATATAGTGTCATATGTTGATTACTTAAGGTCAAATGAATAGAGTATCTTAATATTTTGTTATTTGGTTTCTTTATAATCAAACATTTGATACACGTACCAATGATATCATTGATTGCATATGATTTTTTAACTTTATATGTTATGGATGTTTAATGAAAATTTTTGTTAAAAATAATGATAGTTTGTTTTTTAAACCAAATTTGTATTTGAACGAATGAATGGATTGAATTATCATTTTTTCTTTTTAAGAGAGCCAGCAGGGCGGAGGTGAGAATTGATCTCATGATCTCCTAAAATCGGAAGGGAAGCTCTAACCACTTGAGATATCCCCCACTCTCTCGATAACCTATATTGATTGAATCTAACTCTTTATATATATTTTAATTTTTGTGATTTATTGATGGTAAGTATACTTTCAATTCCATGATACACCTTTAAAACATTGATTCAATATATTGGGGGAAAAAATGATAGTTGGTCCTTTCTCTTACATTTTGGGTAGAAATAAAATATAATTTGTGCTAAGAGACATGAAAAATGATCACAAAAGAATTAAAAAAGTATGGATGCAAGAGAGCAGCATGAACGAATAGCCTATTCGGACACAGCCTCTACACCAACTATGTCGGATGATTTCTCAAACCACACCTCCTCCAAACATACCAGCTCGGCCAGGACCAGCAAGGGTCAAGCTCACCATACTCAAACTCCAGTTCCTGTTCAACCAATTTAATATCAGACCCCCTAGAATTTTAATGCTTTTCTGCCGCCTAACCCTCTTGTCTTCGAACAGTACGGGCAATATGGCCAGCCGTTCGAACAGGTAGCTTACCTGGCTGTACCGGCCGCACAACCTCAACCCATTGATTGGCAAATGCGCTTGTTAAACCTTGGTGACAAGCCGCCTCAGTTTTCTCAAGAGATTCTTAGCTCTCCTCAGCCTGCGAAGGTGAAGAGCGTACTCGTGGGTGCCTATGATGGTACGGGTAACCCAGAAGAGCACGTCACCTCGTACCAAAATCTGTTGTATTTGCAATGTGTGGATGATGCCACCTGGTGCAGGTGCTTCCTGGCCACCCTCAAGGGTGTAATCCCCCATAATTTTAGAATAAATTATTATATATTTCTCTATTATTTAAATAAATATTTTACTTTGTTTTCATTAAATAAATTATTTTATGCAAAATTTATTTAAACTATGTTAAATTAATAAGTACTAATCTAATTGAAATTCTTTTTCTATACACCAACATATTGTATCATTGGTATTAGTAGCCCGAATGTAAATAAAAAGAGTTTAAACTCTCATCTAAGCCCAATCTACAAATTCTACTCCTACTTAAATTTGGAGACCAAGCCCACATAAAAACCCCAAAAACAAAACCCTCAAATTTCCCCTTCTCACTCACGTAAGATTCAATTGCTTTCTCCCTCACTTTAATTTCTTCTCCTATTTCACGAACTAGAGAAAAAAAAAAATCTGTTGTACCTGCTGCCGCTGCTCAGCCACGCCGGCCACCCTGATGCTCGCCGGTCGCCACCGACCACGCCGCAACACCACCCGCCCAGCATCAGCGACTAGTTCGCCTTTCTCCTTCCTTCTTCTTCTTCCTACTTTGTTAATTTAATTCAAGTTTTAACCTTTATTATGTTTTTGTTCTTAAGTTGTTATTATTATGATTTGATTATGCTTATAAAGTGTAAAAGACTACAAATTTATAACTTATACTATGTCTAATTTATGGCATAAAATTTCATATTTATTAAAGTTTTAATTTTGGTTTAAATTGTATTAATTTCATATTTTTATGTTTATAATCTCATAGAACAATGTTTGTGGGTATTTTATGATTAAAAAGCTTTGAACTTTAAAGTCTAATATCAAGAATAAATTTTCAGATTTTGAAGTTATTATTTTGAAGCCTCTAATTACATTGAATTGATGTATTTTTGGGTTTTAAACATACTAACTTACTATATAACGATTATTTCAAGTAATTATGTTTATGATGTTGTTATATATATACTTAAACTAAATTTTTGGATTATTTTCTTATTTTAAAGTTGCTGGAATTTTATGTTATAAACCATATTTTCATGATTTTAACATATAAACTTATAGTTGAACTATTAAATTATTAACTTTGACTATTGGGGATAATTTAAAGACATTATTTTGATGGTTTAAGAGGTTTTAAAGTAGTTTGGTATTGCTGTAAATTTATTTTCTTGGGTGTTGATTTAGTTCTTGTTATTTGGTTTAGGAGAGGACTTCGTAGAAGGTGACTTCTAGTTCCTAAAGTGGCCAACCAATTCGTTTATTCAGGGTACGTACAAGGATATGAAAAACTTGACTTTAGGAGCATGTTTAAGGACTTGGAAACTTAGAATCATGTTAGGAACTTGTGGATTGGTTGAAATTGTATGGTAGTAATTGTGATTAATGTTTGATGTGACAGTTGGTTTTGATTCATGTATGAGGATTGTGTATTAATTTAACTTGTAAGTATTATTTATACGTTAGTTTGCAAGATGAGCTTAGAGGCAAAGGTACATGAATATGTGGAATGAATTATTTTATTACTCTTTCATCATGATTGTTGAGATGGAATGAGTAAAGGAAGAATTAAAGTTTTATAAGATGAGGTTAAGGTCTTGGGGTGCTTTATGCACTCAAGGTGTTTATACACCAAGGTAGATAAAGTAATTAATAATAAATATTGCTTGTCACTAATAAATCAAGAACTGAATTGGAAACTTGGTTTACTTGATTGAATTGATATTGGATTGATTGTATTGTTTGCATATGAGTCATCACCAACTCTGGATTGGTGCACAACTGGAGTATTGTCAATCAGGGGTTTGGGTACACGGGGTATTAGCCGTGCACTTTTCTCGAGGCCGTCTGATCTACTAGTCTCCTATTTCAAATATTTTTTTTAAAACTAGGAGTTAGGTGAGATCTCATACTAACTACGGTCACGACACTAGTAGAAAAATGGTAATTGGCACCGAGATAGAACCGGTGGTAAAAAAAAGGTTGAAAATGGGCGGGGTGTTAAGAGTAGAGTATTGGCACCGGTTCAAAACGAACCGGTGCCAAAAGGTTAAAAAAAACGGTCTTCTTTCATCTCTGCTTCTAGAACATAATAAAACCCTAACTTTTGTACATAAAACCCTAACTTAGCTTCTCTCTCTCCGCCTCCATTTCATTTCCTCTAATCTGATCTCCCTCTCTCTCCTCTCCCTCCTCTCTCCTCTCATCTCCTCTTCCTTCTTCGATCTCCTCTCTCTTTCTTTTCCTCGATCTCCTTTCATCTCCTCTCCCTTCTTCGATCTTCTCTCTCTGGCTTAGATCTTCACAACCACAAATTCGACCACCGCCTCAAAGCCCACCACTACCACATCATCACTGCCGCAAAACCGCCACCACCACCACAAAGTTTGACCACCGCCGCGAAGCCCACCGACATCAACAACAATTTCTGGGTATAATTATTTAAGGTTAGGGTTTAATTTATGGGTTTAATTCAATTTTAATCGATTTTGTTGGATTTAATTTTGGGTTTGATTTTGGATTTAAATCGATTTTTCTGGGTTAACTTAATCGATTATTGGATTTTAATTCGAATTTTTCTCGATTTATCGGGGTATAATTATCCGAATTTAATCGGTTTTGTATTTAATTCGATTTTTTTCATTTTTTATGCGTTTTAATTTTGGGTTTAATTAATCAGTTTTTCTGGGTTTAATTCGTACATGCATGTGTGTTTTTCGAATTTTTTTTAAAATTTTGAGTTTTGTCGGGTTTTTTTTTATTTTTTTTTCGAGGATTTTGTTTTTTTTTTTCATTTTTTTTTTTATAATTCTGAGTTTCTGGCTTTTTTTCTAGTTCGTGAGTATCTTCGTCAAATTCGGGGTCGGAGGAGCAAAATTGAAGGCCGATATTGCTTATACTATTCAGCAATTGCTAAACAATATTCGTTAATCCATTTGTTATTTTTTTTTTTTTCTTTTGGCAAGTGTAAAATTACAGATTATGAATTTCAATTTTATTATATATTAATGTATTATTATTGGAGATATTATTATTGTTGGCAGAAATGTTTATATATAACATTTTGGTGATCATATATGAATTTCAATTATACTTTAGCATTTGGTGTGTAATTAATTATTGATTATGAATTTCGATTATATTTGGTGTTGTATGATTTTTCTGCTAATTTTTAAGAGAAAAAGACCAAAAAAAAAATTATTTTTTTTGGACATTGGCACCGGTTAACCGGTGCCAAAAGGAGGATATCATATTTTTTTGGGCATTAACAAGTTTAGCCACCGGTTTGAACCGGTGGCTTTTTCATGCACTAATTGGCACCCCCCACATTTCATCGGTTCAAAACCGGTGGCATTGAGGGGTTTTGAACCGGTGCCAATTTCGTTTTTTCACGTAGTGCAGAGTCGCGCCCGTGGTCGTTGGATGTTTATTGATGTTTCGGAAAGGAGACATGGGGTTTTTCTTTTATTGATGTTCCAAATGGAGCATGAGTTGGACAACCTTGTCTATTGCTTAATCCAATGAATAAATAAATGAGTTAGCTACTACCAACTAGTGAAGTCTTAATAAAATTCATAGATGAGTCGTGTGTTGAGTCTATAATTTAATGATGCATGATGTTTGATTATTAGTAGCATGTTAGGGATTTCTTATTTTATTTCGCAACTTGTATGTACTCAGCTTTGCTGATTGCGTGCTTTTGTTTGTCTTTCTTTGGTCATGGCCTTCGCCTTTCAATGACCTTGTAATGATCCAATCTTTACACTTGTAATATTGGGGAGCAGATTAAACCACAGGTTCTTACACATGCAGCATCTGTTTCTAGATGGTGGGATCTTGAGTGGAGTGTTGGTTGCTTTTCTTATTTTTATTGCTATTTACTTTTAAAGTTATTTAAACTCAACTTTACTTTCAGACTATTTCTATTAGTTTAAGTTTTGAATAAGGGTCGTAAGGGTTCCAAGTTGTAAGATTTAAGTTGGTTTTGGTTATTGGTTTTGAAACTTATATATACTTGATTTAGTTTTTCCGCTGCTATTTTTTTTTTTTTTAAATCCTTAACGTTTGAACACGTGGTGGTAGCACGCCAGTAATACTCTTGGAATTGTTCAGGTTATTCACAGGTTTTTAAGAGAGAATTATTGGGGTGTTACAAAGGGTGTGGTGCAGGACTGTTTTAATAGCCTGTCGACCGGGTGCATCAACTGCTTTACTACTCTATAAGTATGTTGTTCTTCGGAAACTTTTCTTATAATATTCCCCCAAGGAAGACCAGTCTTAACTTGGCTACGATCGTCCAAGGGAAGAATGAAGGGTTGCGTTCGTACGTCCAGAGATTTAACCAAGAAAAGGCCCAAATTCATAATCTGCCGGATGAAATGGCCTATTTGGAATTTCTCCGAGGATTAAGGTATAATGGTTTCAAATTTGACTTGGTCCGGAAAAAAGGTTCGGACATACGCAGGCGTTCTGCGGGAAGCCGAGGCCTATATTGAGGAAGCAAATTTAATTTCTGTTCACTCACAAAAGCTAAAGTACCGTCCAAGGGGTTGACAAGCAATCATCTCAGCAAGATTCGGCCGGGAAAAAGAAAGAGGGAAAGAATAAGAGATTAGAAGTTTGGGTATCCAACTGCCAAGATATCAAGTCAAAGAAGCATAAGACGTACGAACCCCAGTACGAGTTCAACAAGGATTATTATTCAATTTTGATGTAGATCAAAGATAAGTTCGAATTTGAGAAGCCCACGTCGTTGAGAGGCTCGGCCCAGTACAGAAACAAGAACAATTATTATCACTACCACAAGGATGTGGGGCATGATACGAATGAATGCAACAATTTGAAGAGGTTGCTAGACAAACTGGCCGAGAATAGCATGCTCAATTCGTACATCGTGAAGTCAAAGTTCACCTATAATCGGACAGACAACAAGTCCGAGAAGAAAAGGCAAAACGACAAGGAAAAAGAGGATGGAAATAGCACAGATTCTGGTTTTGCGGCCGTCATATCAGGCGACTTTGCTGTAGACGGCCCTACCATGAATGGAATTAAGCAAGACGCATGGAATTTTGCAAAAGTAATGCATGCTGAGAGGGTTAAGGTTGAACCTTTCCTAGAAGTAATGGTCAGTGAAGCAGACCGAGGCGAGGTCAAGGCCCTCCACAATGACCCCATGGTCTTTATTTTGAAGATAGCTAGCCAATTTGAAGGTCAAATGGGTACTGATAAATACAGGCAGTTCGTCCGACATTATCAGCTTGGCCTATTTGAAAATTTTGAAATTCCCATAACAAAGATATCTCCCACCCGTTGGTTGGGTTCGGAGGAAATGTTATACACCCAACCGGACAGATAGACCTGCCCGTCCGGCTCGGGCCGAAAGGGGAAGGAAGAGACATGGTCGTCCGCTTCCTAGTGGTTAAAGAGCTCACTGGCTACAATGTGATACTCGGCCGCCCCACTTTATTGGCAAAGCTTGGAACCACTTCCAAACCCATTCCAAATGGGCCATAGGAGATGGAACTAGTATAGGATCAAATTTTGGCAGGACGCTGGCTTGGTCCTGGTCCATTAAGAGATTTGATCCAGGGCCCTCTCCCTCAACATGAATCGGATATGAACCTTCTTCTTGCTAGAGATGGTGCCTCCTGGTCTCTTCAGAATCTCTCCTTTTCTCTCCCTCCTCATATCACCGAACAGATCAATGCTACTTACTTCCCCAACAAAGGGCTTGATTTCCCTGTGAGCTCCTTTGTCCATGGGAGATATTTTGATTCAAAATCTGCCTATAACTCTCTATGGATCTTTTAACACCCAACCTCTCAAGAGGATGAAAAATGGGGTACTATTTGGGACCTTAACTGTACTCTACCCCCAAGGTTAAGATGTTTCTTTGGCTAACTATGTGGGAAAGACTTCTTACCTCCTCACACCTTGCTGCTAGAAACATTATTCCCTCAGCCTCATTCTTCTTTTTCCCAGGGGTGGATGAATCCATCCTACATGTTCTTAGGGACTGCCTAGGGCAGATGAAATTTGGAACCTCCAACCTCTTCTGCCTCCTTTAGCTGACTCTGTCTCTTCATGGATGTGTGATAACCTGGGTAGCTGCTCATCTGACAACTCTATGGGGAAGCCTTGGAATATGGTCTTTGTTGTCATGTGTTGGAGAATATGGATTAGATGAAATAGGTGGGTGTTTGAGAAAGATAATATTGGCATTGAGTCCTGGTGGAAATCTACCACCTGGATGATTAAAGAAAACTCAATTCTCTCTCAAACCCAGCCTTTGGTCCCTAAGTTCTCTCTGCCAACTTTTAACTCCCTTGTACCTCCCCAAGTGCTAATCAAAACTGATGCCTCCTTCTCCTCATCTACCCTGTCAGCTGGCATAGGATGTGTTTATAGGGATTCTCAAGGGGTTTGGTGTGAAGGCATGGCTATGCATGTCCCTTGCACTTCTGCTTGTGGGGGAAAGCATTTGCTGTCTTGTTTTCACTAAAGTGGGCTGTGTCTAATGGATTTGTTGAGGGACTGCTGCTGTCTGATTGTGAGAGGGTGGTCCAAGGGATTACTCTGTAGGATAAGGTCTGGGATGAACTTACTAATATATATAATGAATGCAAGGAACTCCTCAAGCAACTAGAGGCTATCTTTAAGGCAAGGGAAGCGGGCGGCCCAAGTTTGTTGTGGCAAGAGGAGCAAGACAGAAGCTGGCTATTTCATCTGACTTTTGTAGGATTGTCCCGAAGGAAAGTAGGGAAGAGCTTCTGTCTGGCCTAGGAAATTTCTGTTTTTCTGATAGCAGCAACATTCTCCCATAGCTTTTGTATATGAAACTGCTAATGCCTAGGTTAACTTGTAAAAATTATTTTGTCAAAGTTCTACCCTTTGAGAACTCTTGTAATCTTGGTGATGTGTTAACTAATGACTAAATGAAAGACTTTTAACCAAAAATAAACACTACTAGAAAATAGCTTAATTCCGACGGACTGCTTCCGACGGACCCAATATTCCGTCGGAAAAAGGGAAATTTACGACGGATTTTTTTTTCGTCGGAAATTTCCGACGGAATAAAAGTCCGTCGTAATTTGTATGTTCCGACGGAATTTTCCATCGGAAATTACCTTTTCCGACGGATTTATAGTCCGTCGTAAGTTTCCGACGGAATATTCCGTCGGAACATAATTTATTTTTTTTTAAAAAAACCATTTCCGCTACAAAACCCTAAACAAACTTCAAGAAGCGCCTCTTTTCTCTTCTCCTCTCCACTCTCTCTCTTCTCCATTCCTCTGCTTCTCTCTCCTCTCGCTCTCCTCTCTGCTTCTCCCTCTTATCTTCTTCTCTCTCCTCTCGTTCTCCTTTCCTCTGTTTCTCTCTGTTCTCTCTCCTCTCGTTCTCCCTTTTTATAAGTTTTTAAAAGGTGGTTGTTACATATATATATATATATATATATATATATATATATATATATATATATATATATATATATATATATATGTGGTACTATTTGCTTGTGTTCAATTTCAAAGTTTCAATAGGTGATTTTGGACAAATTTTTCATAAATATATTACCTTGTAATTGTTATTAAGAGTAATGAAAGAGCAGTATAACTGCCTTATCTTACTTACTTCCCCTCTCATCTTTCATAAAGACTAGAATAGACCCGGTCTACAATAACTTATTGTAGACCCAACCTTTTAGTATACCATACGAATGTGATTATATCATACGAAATGTGATCATATTACTACAAAAGTGATAATATTATCCTGAAACTGTTATGTAAATGTATCACTCAAAAAGTAAATTTATCATTATAAAAAGTATCAAATAGTAAATTACATCATTCAAAAGATTTTTTTTTAATTTTATCATCCTAAGGATAATTATATAATCTCAGTAAATGGTTTAATATGAGATTATATAATTCAAAATATGAGTCACAAAAAGATAATTATATCGTCTAAAAAAGTGATTATATTATCCAGAATGTGATTATATTATTTGAAAGTGTCAAATTTTGGGTCTACAATAATTTATGGTAGACCGGGTCCATACAAGACCAATTACTCTTCTTTATATATTTCTAAGTTCAGCAAATATTACCTGCAATATACGGTATATTATACTTACCTCTGTTTTTTATTAGTTGACACGTATTCTTTTTTAGGAAGTTTTTTTTGAGTTGACATAT